TAAACGGATCCAACTCTCCTTTTGCTCGACCAATCGTCGAAACTGTTTCTCCAAATCCAATATCCGGCTCAAAGGACCATGAAAATGAACGATTTATTCCATTTTTATTCCACAAAATGAACACAAAATTTCAGTTCGGAACATTGTGTAATTGCAACCGTTTTACCTGTTGTGAAAATTTTGGAGAGCTTTCCAGCAAAAATTAGTTGTAGTTGATTGGTATGCAACAAAGGTGGTTCTATAATTGGATCCATCAATAGCTTTGTCATTGGTTTTTAACTGAAACTTTGCTAAAAGTTATGTGCAAGGGTTTCACTTGAGAAGTGCCTTTCTCCTGTGAAGAATTATTTCAAATTTCCATATCGTCTCATTTTTATTTTTATAATTACTTTTACGTTTACTGCTTGAACATTTTCATTTTCCTTTATAAAAGCAAACCATCCCTTAGTAGCTGGGAGGAAAAAAAAGCAGTGCTTACCAGGATGCAAACTGCTAACACTTTCAATCCAAGTTATGATTCCCAGACTGAAACCTTACCACTGCGCTACTCTGTAATTTTAGCTTTTCAATTGGGTATACAGCTATTAATTCATCACAGTCTGGTTGAACTCGCTGATTGATTGATGATTTCTGCTGGCTTAAATGATTCGTAAAGCGAGTACTACAAGTTCAAATTGTTGTTTTCTGCTGGAAGTCACTCAGTATGCTCACCAAATGACTTGTTTTACTGGCCATCTCATCTATTCATGGATACTTTGGATGCTGGATGGGTTTTCATTCTCACTCTGCATTGAGGTCAGGGGATCGCTCGGTCATCTGACTACAAAGCGCATGGCTTACCTCAGCTATTTGTCATTTTGATCAGTTGAAAGCCTGCTGTCGTGTGAGTAATTTCTATCCCTTGATTCAACATGTTTTTAGTGCAATGAGGGAACGAATATGTTTGTAATAATGCAAGTCCTAAGGACAGAAACATCAATATCAGAATGGCCCTTGACTTGATAGGGTAATTCTAAGGAAAAGGAGAATTAGAATACAGTACCGCTCAAAAGTAAGTTACCACCGTCTCGTTTCTTGCGAGTGCACCGGAAGTACCAATGCTATGCATTCGTCGGTATTCGAAACCTGTTTTGTTAATAAGACGTCTGTATCATATCGTATCGATTAGCGCGGTAGACACGATTTTCATTCTCATCAGCAATACGCGTGTAACATGTGTGTATTATAAATTCTCAAGCGTCCAGTATTGTTTCATATACATTGACCAAACCTTTTTTTTATTACAGCCAGACTTGCTTAACGTTTAGTTTTTGTAAATACACGCACGATAAAAGTTGAAGGTATGTGAATCGTCGGCAAGTTAGTCACTCGTGTTTACAAATATGTTTTACA